ATATAAATATATATACAGAGCTATTCTATACAATTTACATGTCATCATTTTTTATGCATCTGAATGTATGTATAATTCAGAGAAAGTACTGAAAGCAAAGGTCATTGTGTATGAAATTAAATTGCTTTGGTCTAGATTAATTTGTGTAATCTTGTCACAGTTGGAACAAAATGAATTCAGTATTGCTGTACTGATATTTCCAAAAAATAACATTAGTTTACATAGTTGTAATAAGATTGTGCATATATATTTTTATATATAACAGACTCATTTCCATATTTGTAATGACAGTCTACATAACACCATTTTTTTAAGTTTGTAAGCTATATTCTGCTGAAGCAACTGACAAAAATCTATGCTGTAAAAGTTAATAAATGAAAAAAATTGCAAGTTAAAAATGATGTTGAACATGTTAAATAATTCAGACTTATTATGAAAAAAGTGTCTGTTTAAAATGTTTAATGCCTGCTAAGAAATGAATGCAAACTATATCAAAGATGGTTGAGGTCCGCATGTGGCTACCAGGTGACTGCTTTACCATCTGGCACCTTAGACATTGCATATTTGTAGCTGTAAGCTTCCTAGTTCTTGTATGGATGAAAATGGTGTTACCATGCCTGCTTTTTGGCTCTAGGGGATGCGATGGTGAAACAGGAATGAGTAAACTAAAAAGAGTGATATTTTAGTAATCTGTTGACACTGAGGGAATGTATATGTTAGTAGTCTGAGGGGATTTATATGTTAGTAGTGAGATATATAAACAGAGTTCAAGTTTTGCCCCTTAGCACTATTGTTCCATGTCGAATTAAAATTATAGCATAGGGGACAAGACTGCTGCAATTGCTGTCAGAACATTGGACATACACTGTAGGCAATCATAGCTAATTCAACCTAGTGGCATACACACAAAGCTGAAATACTATTTTTCTGTTGTTTGTATGGTAATTTGACCCTATAAATTGAGTAATTGAACCATTTTATTTATAAACAAAAAGGAAAAGTGTGCTCTTCCTAATACTTCCTATTGGTTCTTAATGTGATGTACAGCCTCAAATGGGGGGTGGGGGATGTTCAGGGTCAAGCTTCAATTGTGCAGAAAAAATATAAAGGTGCATATAAATTTAGCAACCTACAGTGTATCTCTGGTTCTACAGATACTTTGATGTTAACTCTTACGTACTTATTTCTTTCATTTTTCATTTCATTTATCCAATTTGAATTGTCCAGGTGACAATGCCATACCACCTGCATGCAGTATTTAGTACTTAGGTTTGTGCTAAGAGCAATTAATTATGTAAGTTAATCCAAACATTTTATATAAAACATTCAACACTTGTACCAACAAAACATCAAATCTACAGATCTTTTTCCTAATGAAGCAACACTAGCAAGACCAAGTAAATGCTTTAATTGTAACCATGGTGTTTTATATGTAAACCGTATTGACTCTGTACCAAATAACCTACTAACTCTGCATATATAACATGCTTTACTGTTTATCGTTTCTATAATCATCATACGCTTAATATAAAACAGGTTGATGTTTATTCAAAACATATGAAGAAAGCAAATTCAAAGGAAATATTTTCCATACCTTTGCATTGATTTGTGTTTTTGTCAAGGATTGCCTTAGTTGATACAATTTTTCCATACCTATAAACAAACAAAAAAAGTTATTGTCACCCAGCATTTTACAGATACTTTAAAAAAAAAAATTTCATGCACAGATACAACATGTAGCTGAACGGACACAACATATAGCCGAACATTTATAACACTTTATGTACAGTATGTTTCAGCAGTTTAATCTTTTCTATGTTCACACATCTTTGAATGATGTAACTATTTTAGAGAATCCCGTTGATTATGTGATACTGAACAACCAACTAATCTTCACAGAACATACTTAGTGTACCAATGGTGCGGGGATCCTTCAGAAATTTCCCAGCATGCACGCATGATTAATTGCAGTTTTTAGTGATCATTCTGCATCTTATGTTTAAAGTTGTGGATGTCTACATTGAAGATGACTTCTAATAGAAGTGTATTGTGTATTAGAAATAAGGAATAACTTAACCAAAACATTTAACCAATGCACATTTACAAATTATATATTGCATTTAAATTGTTTCAAGTTGTAATATTAATGGTAAACTTTTGAACTCTGTATGATAGTCCCCCTACTTTTAGTTTCATCTGTCATGTTATATCAAAAAGCCGCAGAGCCTGGGTGCAAAATCCAAACCTCTTTTGCCATGCCACAACTTATGCCTGATATTCCTGTTCCACCTTTGAACTGTTGATTTAAAAAAAAAAAAAGATAATTCTGCTTTCTTTTGCCGTATGTCTATTGAACCATTTGAAAAGTTGAAATAATTCAAATTTTGCAGCTGCAGAAAAAAAATGTGTAGCACCTTTGCAGTGCCAGAGCACCAGAAAAGGCAGTAGAGGCAGTATGAGGTAGCATTAAATGTTTTCATTAGCTCCATGGGTTTTGGACTCATTGCTCATCCAGGTCTGGATCATTTTTGTAATAGTGAACTTGTCAACTGTGTTCGTGGACAGGTGGATTCATTGCTCTGTTAAAACACTGCAAACTGCATTGAATACCATCTCTGACAGTGCAATTAATCCATGTGGTTCTCGAATCAAAGATTGTACACATCCTCCCTGGACCCCAGGTAATCTGAGATGATATGGTCTAAGTGTTGCCTGTGACTGTTGCCTGAATTACTGGGGCAGCTACCGCCACTGTTGCTCAGCTTTTCAGTGACCTGAGAATCCAAGGTACATTGCCCATGAAAGAGGATCCTGCTACTTTCTGGAAAGGTGGCCAAGATGTTCTTCTGCAGTACCTCTTCCAAGTTGAGTATGTGTTGCTCCCTCTGGGATTGCAGCATATTATCTGTATCAATAGTATCGGAAATATAAAAGTATGGCCAACCAGTATAGTCCCTTTTCTTCAGCCACATCATGTGCTGCCTGTGAGGAACTATCTGGCCCAGTCTGGCCGCTGTCCCATGGGTATACTAACTTCAAAACAGCATGGCAGCATTTTGTCTGGGCCATTGTGTAGGCTCTTGGACACTTGCAGGAGACTAGTGGTTCTGATGAGACACTGGATGAGGCCATTGCAAAGGGGGGGAAGGTGGGGCTCAGATGATGACTGAGCTGTCAGCATCACCAAAGTGCAGGACACAGGTGGCACAACCAGTCCCAGCAGTGTGCCCAAACCACAACCTTCCAAGCCTCCAGCAATTTATCCAGCATGTCATAAAAGAGATGTAACATCCCTGCACTTGGGGAATTAGAGATTGCAGCAGATTCAGATGGAGATTCTGGTGAAGTTGGGGGAGAAGTGGAAAAGGAGGAATAGAAGTGTGGGCCTTTTGCTGCAAGCCAGTATAATTAATGTGCTTCTCACACTAAGTTTTGTGATGCGCAATTGTGTGTCTCCTCATGTATGTGGTACCAAATTACTTTTACATTTACCACACTTGTTATGCTGAAGACAGAGCCTGGAAAACACAACAGTGCTGTCAGCAGCAGATGTGTTAAAAAAGGCCCAGGCTGGTAAACCACAAGATAGCAGTGGCCAGCACCTGTGGGGCAGTGCCATTCAATGGAATAGGATGGCTGTTCCCTCCATTGCCCCTGTCCCTGGAAGACATCCTTCCTTGCTGATGTTATGCCTTCCCTCGTGTTCCTCCTTTAGAATCTCTGGCACCCAGGTACAGTCTGCCACCTCATCATTTCCACCCTTTTCATAATTTGAGCCCACTTGGCAGTAAACTGCAGATTCGGGAACATCAGTGGCAATTGTTTGTCCCTGTCTGTTGTCCCCTCCCTCTATGCTCCCGGCACTCTCTTCCTCTGCATCTTTTAACAAGAAACTGTGAGCATTTTCCTCCATCAAGTTACTCACTCTGTGCTGAAAAAAATCAGCCGACTCATCCTTACCAGTCTGTGGGGCAGCAGTAGCTGTAGAGGAATAAGAAGAAGGTGCAGATACAGCTGCAGATGAAAATATGCTGCTCTGCACCTGGTGGAAGATAAAGAAGGCTTGTTTATTCACTCAATGGCCTCCTTCATGTGTTCTAGCTGTAAAGCATGTGCATTGCTAGAAATGAAAAGCTGATATGCCCTCCTCAAAGGTGCAGCTTGACCACCCTATTATCCTGAGCATGCAGAAGTTGCTTGCCCCCTATTTGGTAAGCACAAAGAACCTTTGCTGTTCCCCTTGAGCCTAACAGACATGATGAATAAAGGAAATTGCCTAGTTTTATTAGCAGCTATGGGAATTGGGGGATTGAGGATATTGTGCTTTGGTGCACTTAACAAAGTGTTGATTTGGCGCACTAAAATGTACAGCAGTTTTATGGAGCAATGGGCTGCAAACAAAGGGCATCATTGCCTGTGTCAGAAACAATTTCATGCTGCTAACCTCAAAAAAACGCTAACAAAATTATATAGAAAAAATAAATAATATATGCCTCCCTCAAAAAAAGCAGAAATAAACCCCATGAAACACTAAACTGTACCCCTAAAACAATAAAACCCCAAAAACTAACCCTGAAACACTAAAATTAAAACATTTCTTCTAGGAAACCTGAAGTTTTTTAAATCTACTCCAGGTTTTCATTCACACTGACAAAAGGCTGCTGAGAACACTGACTTTTAAAGTGAGGGGGCCATTAGAATACTCCCATATTGGCTGCTCTAGGCCACTGACCATAGTTTATTGGTCAGGAAGTGCATGCTTGATAATTAATTGATATAGCAGTAAACAATTGCATTAGGTTGTCACTTTTTTCCAACTGTAAATTACTTGAGTTGGGATCAAAATGGTTGACCCAAATTTGAAGCTCATCCCTATCCATCATATACAAAAAGGCAAAAAAACTATCTTTTAATTGCTTACTAGAAAAACTTTATACTGAAAGTTTTCAGAGCACTACAGTTCCTTTATCAGGTAGACGTTCTTATTATCTACTATTGCATTGAAATGTTGAAATGTTTTGCTACCTTGTTGTTTAATATTGCAGTTTGTACTGTTAAAATAAGCTATTATCTGACTCCTGGCACAATTTTGGTTGTTAGTTCATTTGTACAAATCTGTTTGACTTGAAATATTTTGACATAAAAATAAACTGACTGAACCTACTAACAGAACGGTTCATGCCAATAAGATATATTCAGACATGTGCATGGGCAGGCATCCAAAGAATACATGTGATAATTAGCCATTACTGCAGTCTCAGTCAATGAGCACATAAAAGGTAGTTGTGTTTAGGTGATCTCAGGCGACATTGCTGAAAATAAAACTCCATCATAAGTTACATTAAAGACTTTAAAGGGTTTTATATTCCTTCAATTAGTCCTATTTCAAGTATACACTTATGTGAATGTGCAGCTATATGTTTACACCTCTTGGCTATAAATCTGGGCATGCTGTCAAGCAATGTGGATTCATTGCCAAAATGTTTAAGATGTAAAGAATGCTTATTTTAACAAATGTTCTATTTATTAGATATGTTATCTTTATGTTTTAATAGATATTCTAATGGGGCAGCCTAAAGAGGTCAGACTATTTATATTACTGGAATTGTATTCCTCTTTTATGTTTGCATAAAGCATGTTAGCATAGCTCTTAGTGTAACCCTGCACATACATTTTATACTAAGTACTGTATGTCCCTTGAACTCAAAAGTCTCTGCCCTGCTTTGTTTCTAAATGCTTCCATTTTGAGGATATTGATATCTTAATAAGAGATTTCCATTTTGAATAAAAAAACTTTCATGAGATTGTGACCTACAGTGCAGAACACAGAGGTGCTACCAGGTTTTACAAAGACTTGAAATGTCAAATTTCATCGGTGTCAGCATCTATTTAAAAACAATCATACACATATAGTGACAATGTTTAGGGATCCATATATCTGAATAATAAAACGTCCTATTTGCTTAGTAATCCAGGAATGTAGAAAACAGTGAGTCACTAAACAGACCCACGGCCAGGATACTGACACAAGCTTCCATTACACCTTGTGCATTAATACCCATGCATATCTATGGGTTCTAGACCTGGGAACAGCCACCCTCCATGTCTGAAGTAGGACAATGAGGACTGGCTGGACAAAGGCTGATATAGACCAATCACCCCAGTATAGCAGATTAATCAATCCAAGATAACAAAAGAAATGGGTATTCTTCTCTATCATGGTTTTATGAAATACTAAAATACTATTCCCCACCATGCCCAATGTCTCATACCCCAGCAATTCTGAAGCTGTAATACTCACCCCATATGGAACTCCTGTTACAACACTTACAGAATTCCTGCCAGTACTTCCAATGGTAATTGCAGAAACCCTCCCAGTACTTTCAATTGTACTTGTAGAATCCCTGCCAGGACTTCCAGAATCCTTGCCAGTACTTTAAATGGCACTCAAAGCATATCTGCCAGTACTTCCAATGGTACTCACAGAATCCCTGTCAAGATTTCCCTGAAACAACACTGGGCATGTTCAAAGTGGTGAGTCTTCCAACCAGCTACAAGTGAAAAAAGTTAAAACATTGAAGTCTGTTACCTCTCACTGCTGGCCTAGACTTTCTGACTACCCTTTGATAGTATCAAAACTCCTGTCTGAACCC